CCCTGGGATGGGAGCCTTGCAGCACACACAGTTTTGTGTCCTGCCATTTCCGTGCTGGGTCCTGCTCAGTTGTGGAGCCACCTCCTCTCTGACGCCTCCCCCAACCTCTCCTCTACGAACACTCCAAAGAAGAGGGACTCCTGTTCAGCCCACTTTTTGTTTGCTCGTCTCCTCCTCTTCACTGCACACTTCCGGAGGTGCCCATCACGGCCCTAGCCCTTCTATACTCAATGCCCAGCGGACACGGGCATGCAGTGAGCGTCTGATAAATGTTGACTGAATGAAGGGCAGGCAGATACAGCTGTTCAAGGCTAATTGCCTTTAAAAAATTCTTACCCTTAAAAAAACCATGCAATAAACTCAGGATGTGCAACCTCTATATGCATCGGATGACCTCTAGGGCTTGTTAAAACAGTTTGCTGCTTCCCTGGACATGCCTGGGGCATCCGATTCAGTTTGCCTGGGGCAGACCCTAAGAATCTACCTTGTTAACAACTTCACAGGTAATTCTGATGCTGCTGATCTAGGGACCACAACTTCAGAGCCTCTGTACCACTACTACCCATTCACCAAATCTAGTTTGAGGGATTTAACGGAAGTCAGCTGATAAAATGCCAGCCCCAGAGTCTGCCAGGGCAGCTCACAGGAGCCACGTTTCCACACTGAGGAGCATAAATTAGTTCCCAAAACATGCCTCTGGACATGGGTGCAGGCCAGAGAACCAAAGAGGGCACCGTTCTAATGCAGCTTCCTTCCTGCTGAAGGAGGGCTCCCTGCAGATGCCCCGAGCAAGCAAAGAAGGCTGGCAGAATGAAATTCAGGAGTGGGGATGGGCGGGAGGCTTAATGTGCACACACCCGACTGTGGTGTGAAGAACGCACAGAGGGAAAAATAGGAACTCTGAATCAACAAGGTGCTTTTATCTAAAACTCTCAGGACATACAAAATACTGGTAGGTAAAAAACGTTAGCGCTAACATCCCTGCCCTGGAGAGCAGATGATTCTTAAATAAAATCCTAACGAAAGCAAAATGTTGAGTGTGGAACTTTCTTTAAAATGTTTAAGATTTCTCTGGTGAGGGTCTGAACACAGCCCTGCCGACCACCTCCCGGTGCCCGCCCGGGGCAGGCCCGTACCTCCGTCAGGTCGCTGTTGGGGAGAATAGCCAGGTCAGGCCTCAGGCAGCAGCTGTTCAGCACAGTGTTGTATCTGGGGGGGACACAGAGACTTAGCATCAGGGACACAGGTGGAGGAGAGCCTGCTGACTTGGGTGGCCTTGTGTCTCACACGGCCCTGAGAGGAAGTGTGTCAGACATCGAGCATTCCTTGCCTTTCTTCATCAAACTCCTTCCCAAAAAGGATGTTGTCTCTCAGAGTGGCATTGAGGATCCAGGCCTGCTGGGCCACGTACGCGAAGGTCCCACTGACTGCAATGCTGCCTTCTAGAAGGGTCATCTAGGGAGACAGACACCAGCCAGTGACAGCATCCCACACAACCATCGCCTGATGCCGAGGGCGCCCCACATCCCACAATGGAGTCTGTAGGCTTGTCAGCGATTTCCTGGGGTGCTTTTTGGACCTCAATCCAGACCCTGCAGCTACAGAGAAAAATCAAAGCTCTCCTCATGTGTGGCTGGGAGCCCAGCACACCCCAAGGCCGCAGGAACACCACAACCTGCCAGCTTTTCTTCTCTTGAGCTGACTCTTTTAACTACAGGAAGCATAAACAGGGATTCCCTTTTGGAATTCCCCGCAGAGAACTGGAAGGACTCAGGCTGGCCATTGCCGAAAGATGATGGCTAGTCCCTTGATCGACAGAAGCAATCCCGGTGCTTGGCCAGACCGGCCATCTCTGTACAATGAGGAGAGAAGTAAGGGGTGGAAGGGGAAGGGCCAGGTTACAGCCACTGCATTTTCAGTCCCTGCATGGATATGAACTGACTTGGGACTATGTAGACATTTGTCTTGGGTTATGGAGGTGATCTACAGCTTCGAAACAAAGATCTATTAACTAGCTTGTACAGTGCTTGCACATCCAAGCGTGTCCTAACACACCCACCCCTACACACACACACACACACACACACACACACACACACACAAATACCTGCTGCAGGACATAACTGGACAGCACACTGATGGTGCATTTCAGAGAGTCCGAATCCTCCCAGAACTGAGCCTTCCTGGCTGTTGCCCCCCGGACAATGCACAGGCAGCACTGCCCACAAACCAGCTTCTCCTTCCCGTGATGGGACAAAGGGCAAAGCCACACTCCGATGTCAACCTAACCATGTCCCGGTCAGGTCCGAATTAGGAGTCTCTGAGACTGCTGAGCACTTCAAGGGGACCCTCCTCCTTACCAGAACGGCCCATAGTCTGAATGAGTGTAAAAATACACTCCCAGCCGCCCCTCTTCAATGCCGTTGAAGAAGCTAAGAACTTCATCTGTCAGGCGGTGCCAGCAGTCTCATGGTGACCCTCCCCTCAACCACCTACATCAAGCTTCATTTGAAGTCATGTTTTGAAGCCGTTGGAAGTACCTTACTTTCCCCCCAATTATTTAGTCCGAAAACAAAGGAAAGGGGAACCTGTCTCAGAGGATCCTCAGCCGTGGCCCACAACTCTCAACAGAAGAGCCCTGACCTGGGCCCCTCCCTCTCTACGCACGCCTCCCTGCCTTGGGCTGTGCAGGCCTGTCTACATGGCCTGCTCCCGCCTCCGAATGTGACCGTGAGCTCCGAGTGCAGGTTCTGCTTCCCCTTAGCTCTGACCCTACCCTGAGTGTGATGCACACAGCACTCAGTAAACGCACACTGGCTAAACGCTGGCGTGGGAAGCATGCGGCTCGCTCAACCCAGGCCATCCACCAGACCTGGTGCTGTGAAGAGTAGGGGTGAGGGTAGGGGGCGCACCATGCAGGCCAAGGATTCATTTGCTCTCTGCCTGGCCCAACTTCATCTTTGCGGAGACTCGCTTACCAGACTCCAGAAGCAGCAGCAGGGTAGTTCCCAAATCTTACCTGGCCTAAAATGGCTGAAATGAGCGAGGTTTTTCCACTTCCCACGCTGCCGCAGATTCCAACCAGCTTGCCCTGGACGAAGCACAGAGAGGGGTCATTCAGAGAGATCCGAGCCTGACTCTGGCCCAAACCAGGGTGAGTTCATGGGAACATTTCATCTCCTGGCTTTTAAGAGGAGCCCCCAGGAAACGGGTTTATTCTTAAGTCCCCTGGTTAGATGCTGAAGGGGTCTGTTTGGAGTTGGAGCTGGCTAGATCTGCGATACAGTTCAAAATTACCCAGAGCCCCCTGAAGGAACTTGGCTAAAATGAAAAAGCACATCTGCCGACTCAGGCGACAGGTCACCTCTTGGATTTCCAGGTCGATGCCGTACAGCGTCCTCTGCAGGCGGAGGCTCCCCGGGTGGCTGTGCCTGCCCTCCTCCTCCTCAGGACCCGGCCGCTCGTCGCTGTCCAGCAGGAGGTGGCCCCTCTGCTCAGCCAGCACCGCCTGGTGCTCTGTGTGCGACAGCTGCCGCCCCTTCTCCTTCTTGGCCCTGGCAGCCCTCTTGTCTCTCTCCATTCTGGGGGTCAGCTTGGGCGAGCTCTGGGTACTGTTATGGGAGGAGTCCCAGGCCAAGGTGGCGTTCTTCATCTCGATCTTGACGTGCGGGCTGGCGGGCTTCTTCTTGATCCTGTGAACCTCCTCCATGACAAACAAACTCTGGCGGGAGTTGAGAGAGGGGTGCAGGGATGAGCACTGAATCAGGATGGGGGAGACAAGCCGAGGGCGCACACTCACGCAGCTCGCGCGTCGGGCGGCCCCGTGGAAGGAGGTGGCAGCCCAGCGAGGGGCCTGGGAGGGAGGGGACACCATGAGGCCCTGGCACTCCATAGACAAGTGACATGCTCGCCTCCTAGCCTCACGTGGTCATTTAACTACCGAATGGTCAATGGCCACTTCCTCTCACTGAGGAGGGGCTGGAAGTGAAGTACCACATGACAGCCTGAGTTTGTGCAGAGACCCGTATCACCCGGCTTCCTCAGAACCACAAAGACTGCTCACGGCCCCCACCCAGACCAGAGTGAACGGATCTGACATGGGCTGTTCAGAGAGGGACCAGGCTTCGATTTCCAGGATGAGCAGGGTCCCTGAGGCTCTGTCTGCACTAAATGACACCTCCTGCTCAATTCTCAGCCTTCCAAGCCCCGCCTCGCACATGAGAGAGACTTGCGTGGAAGCGAGTGGCCTTTTCCTGAGAAACAGGACTTGGGAGGAGAGCAAGACCTTGCCTGCCCTTCTCCTTCCCCAGTCCTGTGCTTGAAGAGGTGTCTCTGAAATTAGCTCTGAACGACTGGCCCCAATCAATCACAGCCCAGGAGTTTCCCACCAAGGCTTTGACTGCACTTCTAACAACCCTCTAACATCACTACAGAAGGCTGGTCCACTATGAGGGCAGGTAAGAAAGTATTGCCACAGTATCATCAAAATGTTTACTGACACAGAGCTACAAAGATGTGAACTTGTGATTCCTCAACACTTGCCCCATTTGGGTCTATGGGCTTCCTCTTTCTAATCCTTCCCTGCAGAATTCTGGGCTCCGAGTTAAAACCACTTGTCAAGAAAGGCAGTTTGGACATTCTTGAAGGACTCAATGCAGGTTCCTTTTCAATGTTCTTTGAGTTTGGGGAACAAAAAGAAGTCAAAAGGGGTAAATCCAGGGCTGTATGGTGGATGGGGTAAGGTTTGCCAATAAAATGTGCAAAGGCCAGCCCTTGCCACCCTTGAAGAATGAGCAAGGGCACGCTGAGATACAACCAAATTCCTCGGCACACTCTACCAAGCTTTTTTCTCACCAGCACCTTTTTGGTTGCCTTAAAACGTCTTCATTATCAGCCCGTGATCACTCTGTGTGCTCGGAGACAATCTATCAAGATGACCCCTTTGGGATAACCTTCTGAGCTGACTCCTGGGCCTTGAATTCCTCTCTAAGGTCTTCTTGACCTTCCTTAAAATGCTGATCCACCTGAGAACGTTATTTTATGTACAGCAGCAGTCTCGTATACTTGCTGCGAAACTCTAATGGTTTGGGTGGACGCCATGTTGAGTTTTGTCCCCATACTTCATGTATGAACCCTGAGCTCAAAATCACTCTTTCCCCCCATGGCACAGGAAGTAGTCTCTTGTATTTGAACAGATGAAGACAAGTGTATTCTGCGAGAACTTGCCTGCAGCCATGCACTGACCACAGAGACCTGGGCCAACAATGTTCGAAATAAATAATTCTTGTTTGGAATAAACTCATGCGCATATGAACTGGAACCCTAATGACAATGCATTGCTTAATCTCGTATGAAAAAAATTTTAATTAAAAGAAAATTTTAAATAGCATCAGAGTGTCTCCCGGGGGTAAAACAAACAAACAAAACCAACCCCCTCCCCCAAGGTCAGAATCTTGCTGATTTACTGAGAAGCCCCAATTAAAAAGTTTAGGAGCCTCTGAATGTTAATTATGAACAGGGAGAAAAAAATAATCCCTTTCCCCAAGAGCAAACCCTACTTCCTGAACCAGTGGTTCTCAACCTTCCTAATGCTGCAACCCTTTAATACAGTTCCTCATGTTGTGGTGGCCCCCCAACCATAAGGCTATTTCCATTGCTACTTTGTAACTGTCATTTTGCTCCTGTGATGAATTGGGCGACCCCTGTAAAAGGATCGTTCGACCGCCCCAAAGGGGCTGAGACCCCAGATTGAGAACCGCTGCCCCGGACGCTGCATTTCTAAGTCTGTTCTTTTCCTCATTGACATCACTGGCTCGCCAATCCCTTCTTAATCCTCAACCTTCTCACAAGTGGCCCTGCTTCTTGAATTTCCAGGTAATCTGCTGATAAGCCTTTGGTTTACTTCCTGTTCAGAGCTTTCCTGAGAGACTGAGCCAAATCTTGTGACCACCGTCCCAGAGCAAAGCCACATACTCACAGGATTCCCATCACTACTCTCCCCAAAGCATGAACAAAGGTCTTCCAGGCACCAACAAAGTCTCACACAACAATGCCGGTGCCTACTTGTTAGCAAGGCTCCCCCCCACCCCACCCAGCAAGACGGCCCCAAAAGGTGAGGCAGAAGAAGGCCCCACCACATGTGAACTGATACCTACGTGGAGTCACACATGCTGGGGCGACAGAATTTCCGAGGTCAAGCACAGGACGCCAGCTATCAAAATGGTTCTCTCATTCACAAGAATCTAACGAGGATAGATGTGCAGAGCAGCCAGTGGGCCTGGCTGACTGCTTATGGGTTTGTCAGATAACGTGCAGAGGTCCTGTTAAGTAGGAATTCCAGATCAACAGCAATGACACTTTAGTATAAATATGCCCCATAAGATGTTTGACTGGGCGCCTGTGTGTTCCTTTGCTAAACTGAGCAATACTACACTGGAGGTACCTTTGCTTGGAAAGCTACAACTTAGCATCCTCCTAGAAATCTTAGATTCCTCTTCCCACCCCCACTTACACTGTATTCTAGGAAGCAGCATGCTCTGCAAGAGACCCCCGGGCAAGTCAAAGAAGAAAAAAGACGGATCGGACTCCGAGGTGCACATCAAAAGGGGAGAGGGGGTCAGACAAAGCAGAGCGGCAGACAGTAGAAGCAGTTGGTAAAACCAAGGGCAGAGCAGCCTTCCCACAGGATGAGGCTCTCTGCCCTCCAAGGAATTGACAGGAGAATGGATGCTTCTTGGGGAGCTATTGTCTCAGGGACAGCCCCCCCCTCCTGGCCCAAAGATGATCCCCCAGGATTGAGGCAAATTGCTGTGCATGAACTCGGAGACGTTCCTAATGAACAGTCCCCTCCCCCATCCCTGGCCAATCTAAGCAAGACAGTTGTCAGTCCAGCTAATAAGCCAGTGAAGATAATGAGAAGAATTGCTTAGAATGGGGGAGGGATTAAGCAACAATACTTTCTATGTTGGGCTAAGTATCTACTTGAGACAGACAGACACACACACACACACACAACCACCCCAGCCCCAAGAGGAATAGGATAGGTTGGGACTGCAGTCTCCTGGGGATTTTGCTTCTACCTGGACCCTGAAGCTTCCTGACTAGCAGGGGGGAGCCAAGCTGCGACCAGGCAGCTGCTAGTGCAAGCCCTTGGCCCTGTGCTATGTGAAGGGAAGACAAAAACGCAGAAGACTCGGCGACGCGGGGAGAAAACACACCAACTACAGACGCCATGCTTTCAGCCAAGACGTCACCAGCCCACTCGCTAACAAGACACAGACGCAGACGGGGAAACGAGGGGGTGGAAAGTTAGGGCTATTTGGGAGCGGGGGAGGCAAGGCTTTGATCACAGTGAGATCATTTCTTTTCCCTCGGCTGTGGTTCTTGGCCTCTGAGCAGGCCCTGGGCCGACGGTGGGGTCAGGGGTGTGGAAGCTGATATCAGATTAGTGGTCTTTACCAAAATTCACCTGGTGAACTATAAACAAATAGATCTAAATAGATCCTGAGATCCCATTCCAAATTCTTCTTAAAAAGGAAAAGCCAATTTGTGTTTTGTGAGCCTTTCAGGTGACGATGTTAATCCTGCAAACACCTGGGCTTCAAGCATGCAGGTGGCCAGCACTAGTCTCCCTGGGCGGAAGCAGGAGCTATAGGAGCGGGCCTAAGCAGGGTGTTCTGGGGAAATCCCAGGCCACACAGGTGCTGGAGCCCCTTGTTCCTGGGGTTGTTTTTAATGTGTTCGTCATCTTCTCGTTTTCATTTCCCTCCCCTCCCAAATACAGTCCCCTCTCTAGCATGGATCTGTTTTTCTAAAGGTGAATAATCAACTAAACACACCTGCAAGGGACTCCACCCCACCCCACCCCCAGACGGATGCTCACTTCACTGCACTCTTGAACATGTTCTGCTTCATGACTAGTCCCATGTCACTGCATCGTGAGTGGCAACCGCAGGACAGGAAAAAGAGGAGTATGCTAAAGGACTTCGCATAGAGACCAATCCAAAGGGCAGTCAGAGACGGAGGAGGCAACAGTGTCAGTCACTTGGCTGTTCTGATGGTCTATGGTCTAGGATCAAACCACCCCAAAGGTCAGTAGGCTAAGACATGTCGATGCTGGTATAAACTGAAGGCTGCCTGGAGCCCAGAACCCACCGTCCGTCCGTCCAGTCCCTTCTCCTCCACTACCCCCCTCTGGACAACTTGCCAAGGGTTTAAGGGCAAACAAAACAGAGCAGCCAGCCTCCAGGGGGTCCCCGGGACACAGACAAGTTGGTTCTTCCAGGGACCCTCCTGGCGCTGGTGTGGGGAAGGAGCCACTCACCTTAAATCTGTCGGCAGCAACAGATGCTTCTGAGAGGGATTTTACTGAGAACGGCGTCACTTTCAAAGCAAAAGTCATAGAATTGAAGACAGTCACTACTGTGAAAGCCTGACAAAAGGAAAAAGGGGGACATTGAGTCTGATTAGGCCGCACCACAGTTACCTACAGGCTTGCTTTCGGCTGCTACTTAACTGTCAAACGTCACTGTAACCCAGATACTTTCTTTTTTAAAGGTAGAGTTTACTGAGGTGCCCTGGTGACATAGTGGTTATGCATTGGGCCGCTATCGGCATGGTCAGCAGTTTGAAACCAGCAGCCGCTCTACGGGAGAAAGACGAGGCTTTCTATGCCCATAAAGGTTTGTATCTAACTAATGACAAGGAGTACAAAAATAAAGAAAATGTTCTAAAATTGACTGTGGTGGTGATTTTCTGTGTGCAATGCTTCTTAATATGATTGAACCATAAAATTGTACAGTTTGTGAATTATATGCCAATAAAGCTGTTAAAAAAAATCCACAGGATCAGTTCTGTCTTGTCCTACAGGGGCCCTGTGAATTGGAATCACCTCCATGGTAGTGAGTTTGATAGCTTACATGAGAACTTGAATAAAATTCTCAGTAAATCTGAATTAAGAGATTATCTGAACTTTTAGAATTAAATCCAAACTTGGATGAACTAAAACAACAGCGGCTACATGCCCCTAAGGATGGAATCCTCCCTCTTCCATTAGTTGGCTCAATCACACCACTGAAAAGTAGTACCTTCCAACTCTTGGGGCCTTCCCCCAAATCCCTTAGGAGTGGGTGGTACTTCCAACTCACCCCCAGCCCTGAGGGTCACTGACCTGTGCTGCTGTCAGATCGAAGCCCAGGGCCATGTGGGCTGAGAAGGTCACCACGCTGGCGATCACCACCACAATGGGGGCCACGCCCACAGTGATGCTCTGGAAGTAGCCAGCCTTCTCCAAGATGCTGCGCTCCTCCGCCCGGATTCCTAGGGACAGAGAGCAAGCCAGTCAGGGGAACCCTTGCGGGCTGCTCCACTGGTCACCACCTGGGGCTCTGGAGGGCTTCAGCCATGGTGAAGGTTGTTTTTTTTTAAAGCACTTTATTCGGGATTCATATAACTCTTATCACAATCCATCCATCCATCCATTGTATCAAGCACATTGGTACATTTGTTGCCCTCATCATTCTCAAAACATTTGCTTTCTACTTGAGCCTTGGTATCAGCTCCTCATTTACCCCCTTCACTCCCTGCTCCCGCCAGTTTTTTGTTTTTAATATAATGTTTAGAGTGGTGATTCTCAACCTGTGGGTTGTGATCCCTTTGGGGGTCGAATGACCCTTTCACAGGGGTCACCCGATTCATAAAAGTAGCAAAATCAGTTATGAAGTAGCAACGAAAATAATGTTATGATGGGGGGTCACCACAGCATGAGGAGCTGTATGAAAGAGTCACGGCATTAGGAAGGTTGAGAACCCCTAGTTTAAAGGGAATGAGCATCCAGGGTGCACTTGCAGTTGGCAGTCTGCTCGCCTGGTGGTTGCTTATTTTCTGCTTGGGGGATTACAGGAGAGACTACACCATAGCCAGGGGAGACAGAAGGAGCGAACATCTCCCCAAATTGCCCACTGCAGGTTGGCCCTGGGATGGAGGCTGCACATAGAAAGCAGAAGGGGTGGCGGGAAGAAGAAATTGTACGAGAGCCAACTTCGGCAGAAGGAATGAAGTTTCTCAAATACCTGACACTCTTAATCACAGAGAAACAACAGGGTACTGGGGACCGTGGAGGAGGAGGTGAGACAACTCACATGGTGAACCATCTTCAAATGTAAGAGCAACGCTTCTGAGCGCTACCCCCACCCCCACTGCATCAACACTGGCGAGGACATTGGGAACGATCTTCAGAGCTGGCTCCGAACTCTTATTAAAACAAGCTCACTCACTGATTCTAAAAGGCACCTGGCATGCTCTTTTCACCTTCACACGCACAAGCAAAGGTACCACAGCCAGAGGCTAAAGGGCAAACGCAATCTCAGATCAGACAACTAGGACTTCTGAGTGCCTGAGAGGACCATCAGCGGTCAGCCTCTCACCCACATTCTTGGCAAAAGCCCATGAATCATCCATTTGTTCCTCAGCAGCGGCAACTGAGTCAACACCTGGGGAAGCAGCCCAACTGAGTCAACACAGGAAGCTGGACACCCGTGAATGAGCACCCCCTCCGAAGGTGCCCTGGCCCGTAAACCACAAAGCCCCCGCTGGGCGCAGGGCTTCTGGAGGGTGGGTCAGTACCCTGAGTGGAACAGCGGGTCCCTGGGTCTGAACAGGACATATTTCTCGTCAAGCTCAGATCCCATTATTTCTCCCTATTATGATGGTAAGGTACCTGCATCATGAAATCTGCCACCGTAGTGTAGATTTTTAGTGAGGTTACACTCATGCTCTTGTGTGATCAGTACCAGTTATCGACATACAGCTTTTTACAATCACTCCAGACAATACGTCCACACCCATTAAACCAAACCTCTATCATCTCCCCTCTCACAGGTGCTCACCCACTGTCGGGGAGCCGATTCCTGCCCATCGCCACCCTATCTATGGGTTTCGAGGCTGTCGCTCTTCACAGGAGCACAGCGCCTCTTCTCTCTCCCTTAAGAGTAGTTTTGAACTGCCGGTCTTGTGGTCCGCAGACCAATGCTGACCCAACAGCCCGCTGTACTTGAACTTTCTGTCTCTGTGAACCTGCTTGCTCTACAAGAGTCACGTAAGTGGGACCAGACAATCATTTATCTTTTGCGCCTGGTTTATTTCACTCAGCATCCTGTTTTCAAAGTCCATCCGTGTCTTCTCATGTATCAGAATTTCATTCTGTTTGAGTGGCTGGTTCACGTCCCATTGCACAGGCAGGCTCGTTTTGTTGTTTCCACCTTTTACCCATGAGTTTTTCCACAGCAGTGATTCAGTTAGTTCACTATCAGGTTATGGTTAATTAATAACCTGTTTCTTTGAATTAAGGTCAAACGAATCTTGATGATATACTTTTTAATATCCTTTACTGGGCATGCTGATGTCTGCATCAAATGTATGCATCAGGATGAGGCAAGGGACTGAGCACCTTGTGACTCAGGCCAACAGACTCCTCGTGCGCGGCAGCACTAGGAGCACAGAGCAGCGGGCTCGTGCTTCAGCCAGCACGCTCCCCGGCCAGGGCCACAGCCCCGTCTCCAGTGCATCTGAAACCACAGTGGCTCCGGGCAAGGGCGCCCGCCTGGAGCTCGCCTCTGACGCTGTTTTCAGTGATGTCCTTACAGCTAGGCCAGAAAACCATGGGCCCGTGAGAGCGCAAACAGACGTCTTTGAAAATAGAATGGATTATTCTAACCTGTCCTTATGGCCTTGGGACTTTGTTAGGTCACTTGTGAAATGGGGACACGGGCTCAAGTTCTCTGAGAGGCCCTTCACTATCAGGAGCCTATGGATGACGACCCTGTGACACGAGGGTCCCCGGGGGCAGACCCCACTCGTGCGTGTGGGATCTCAACACTCACTTTGGACGCTCTGAGAAAAGGCTTTGACCCAGGCATACATTTTAATAAATTTAATGTAAGTGAGGACTTCATTCATCTTCTGGACTCGGTCATCGGTGGCCGCCACACATTTCCTCCGGAAGTACGCCGTGAACCGCGATGCAAACATCTGAAAAGACAAGGGACGCCCTGCCAGTGAGAGTGCATCTGAATCGGAGGAACTGCCTGGCCGCTCTAGAATGAACCTCAAATTTTGTCTCCTGGGTCAGGCCAAGATTCCACCTCACGGTGCTGTTGTCAAGCAAAAGTGGTCTTGGCTGAGTTCTGCCCAACGATTATTAATTGAACTCTCGCAGCTTTGAGGCCATGAGACCACAGACCTGTTCTCCTGTTAGTTGCAGGGAGGGGGTCCTTCCAGCGGGGGCGCAGGAGAGCTAGTCGGCTAGCGCCGGGAGCACCTGCAGGCCTGGTCCTTGGAGCAGACTCTTTTCCCATCCCAAGGGGGCCTACAAGCTTCCCCTCACCCACTTCCCCTCAGAGCAAAATTCTGCCCGTGTGACTGAGCGCTTGTTCCAGGCTTTTCCAAGTCTGGTGCCTGCTTTGAAGACATTTCCAATAGGGATATGGCTGACCAGGTGATGCCTGCCAGAGCTCAGTGGAAGTAACTGATCTCCCGGGGAGAAGCTGTCCTCCAGAGAAAGGGAGGAGGCCGACTCACTTACCATGGCTGGATAAAAGAGGACAAAGACAGCCGATCCCAGGAAGCCCGTGGGTCCCAGAATAATTACAGTATAAATCATGCCCAAGATGGCAACGACAGGCCCGCCAGCCAACAAGCTGCCAACGGCAGCTGCCTCAAACATCCTCTGCCCATCGTTGGAGCAAACGTTGACGAGCTGTGGGAACACAGAGGGTGGGGTGAGAGGGACCTTCAAGGATGCGGGCCACGCGTCCCCAGCAGAGGAAGGACCAGGCAGGGTCCCAAGGAAAAGAGCGAGCTGGAGCTCACACCTCGCCTTCTGCCCTGAAGCAACCCCCTGAACGCACCTCGCCCAGGGACTTCTCCTTCATGTTCTTTAACTTCAGGATCTTCTTGAAGGCCATGGTGAGGATGGCCCCTCGCAGCCGGATAGCAGTTCGGTAATTCAGAGCCCAAGTCAATGCCAGCGACCAAGACCGCACGACATCTGTCAGGAAGAGGCCCAGGACTAACAGCAAGCTGAACCACAGGTTAGACTCTGTTTCCTGGGTGTACTCCAGGAGGCGTTTCACCATGAAGGCCTACAGGGAGAAACACACCCCGCTGTCAGTGTCTCCACAGCACCCACACAAGGCCACGGTTTTGTGTTAAGTTAGAAAGAGTAGGCCGTGCCACCGTCCAGCGGTGAGTGAGTGGGCTGGAGAAGGGCAGCCGCTTGGGACGACACAACCGTCCCGACAGCCTATCTGCGGTGATGCGACTCAGGGCGTTTCATGGGAAGGGGGGGTAGATCCAATGTGAAACTCTGTCCTGTACGGACTCCATCAAAACCGGCACTCTTTCTAATGTAACATAAACCTGTCCACAAGCCGAAAGTGCCCTCTAAACACTTGGCCATCAAAAGTATGTTATTTGACCTTTATTCCGAATCTTCTGCACACACCGCTAGCCGTTCTTTAAGTGAAATGAAGACCCTTTTTGGGGGGTGGGGGTCATTTCAAACGTGCTTATTCGAGAAGAAGGAACAGTGTACCTACAGTTGTACGGGGAAGAGGGAGAAGTGCATTTGCAAAACCTTCCTGAAAACAAACATTGGCAGTTTAATGGCACAGAAAGGAGCAAAAAAAGCAGACTATCCAAAAATCCAGATGCCCGCCCCTCGGCCCCCCTCCCCGCCCACTCCCGTCCCTCCCAAGAACAAAAACATGTTACCTCAGGTAGCATATGTCTAACACCACCTGCAGAGAGGGAAGCAGCCAGCCCCCAAGAACCACCGATTGCCACCTCCAGCTCTGAGGTCCTGCAACGCCGGAGCACACACTCGCGCAAGGCACATTCAGCAACAGGATTAAATACCAGGAAGTGGGGAGGAACGTACTTTTATTGAGAAATCAAAAAACGAATAAATGAAAGTACCATCTTCAAAGAGCATCTCACAGACACGGTACAGCAGGAGGAGTATTGCGGTAACATACAGCGGGAAAATACAGAGAGTCCAGTTACACAGGGCTCGCCATCTAACAGGTCAGCCGGCCTCCAACTCTTGTTGGCCTGACACACCGTGCAAATACAGAATGAGAACCAGCATCTGTTTGCAGAGTCCGAAGGGGTACACCAAGCTGAGAGCACTTAATTGGTTAGGGCTCCTGGAGTCGCCATGATTCCGCAACGGAGTAGACGCTCTAGGAATAAAGACTTGGCTGCCAAGGAAAGAGAATTAAAAAACAAAACAAAAAACAAAGCAAAACAAAGCTGAGAAGGCCCCCAGCGAGGCCCACTGTTTGAAATCGCAGGGGCTAGAGGGGCTGTGAGGAAAGACCCCTGCTTCGGCGGACAGAATGCAAAACTAATTCGGGGCCCCGAGGAGAAACCCCACTGACCCCCTCAGAGTCCTTGCAGCTAAAATGGATTTCGCCAAAAAATAAAACAAAGCAAACCATGAACAAAAGAAAGCCAAACTGATCCACCCCCACCCCCATCCCCGAAGGAAGCGGAAAAAAATAAACTCAATGAGAAACCCGCCCACCCAGTCTAGCCGGGTTTCTGATGGCCAAGGCTACCCTGCAGTGGTAGCCTGTGCCCAGCGACAGGCACAACTGGAGGCCTGAGGCAAGTGTGCTGAGGTAGCTAATGCTGCGTTCCAGAACCCGGATTCTCTCTGGGTTAGCTGGTATTTCAATTTCCTCCTGAGAGTAAATCAATAGCGCATGTCCACTAGGTTCCTAGGAGATCCCCACCAATCAAGTGTATGAAGAGTCCCAGAAGGTAACCTGATCAAATAGATTTCCAATTCAAAGGATGACTGTGTTGTGGTCCACCTCACCCCTCCCTCCAATTTTTAGGCTTATATCCGTTGTGTGGGTCGCCACTGCACACAGCTTGGGTTCTTGGGTTACTAGCAAGAAGAGTGGCTTCTTTTGCAGTGTGCAATCCAAAGTGTGGAACTGAGTCCGTGAACAGCAGGGCCTCAGCCCCTTTGTTCTCACGCAGACCGGCCCGTGCCGTAAGCATTTTCTCACACACCACGGCACTGCCGGGCCAGGCTCCAAGGGACGGTGCGGAAGAACAGCAGGTTGTTGGTCTGGGTTCCTTCCTTCCCAGACCTTTAGTCTGCCTCTTTTGTGGCTGTTTGCTTTTCAGCGTGGGGGTAATAGCATCAGCACCTCCCAGGGGGAAGGAGCGCGGGAAGGCAAAAGACATAATGAACGTTCACACTAGGCAAGATTTGGGGGTGCAGGGTGGGGTGGGGGGAGAGGAAACAGCAGATTAAAGAATCTCTAACACACAAGGTTTTGTTTTTGTTTTGTTTTCTAAGGTAAAAAGAACAACCAAACCAACAAACCAACAACCCAATCACATTTCAAACCATTTTGTATGAAATAGAGGGAGGGGGAGAAAAAAGGGTTTGCATGAAAAATCCAACCAAAACTTTAACTTTAAAAAGATATAAGCTTATCATTTAAATGTAACAAACTGGGAGAAAACGTGAGATTCTCAGCATAGCTGTCTGGCTGTGGAAAGCATTCCCAGTGAATAAACATTACCTTACCTGAACTCCGCGAGAGATTCTGCCCAGCTTGACTCTCATTCTGACCGCAGAACACAGCCATCCTGAAAATTCTAAAGAACAGCTTCTGTCACTGGTCCCACTACAGAGACTCCCCCCAGAGCCAGATGCTGACAGCACCAAGCAAGCTGCAGCTGGAGAGAGGTTCGGAAGGGTGGGAGGGAACTTACCTCTCTACAGGGCTTTGCACTGTTCTTTCCCCAAAAAGCCTTTGGGAAAGTTAGCATTCACCACGAGAGTGCACTGCGGGAAGCAGCCTTCTCGGGCGGATCTACAGGTGGATGCTAATTCTTTACACACAGATCGGAGGTCAGGCCTGGTCTCTTAGAAGTGTCCTAATCCATTAGCAAAGCTCTTGCCAAAGCACCTCTCTGAAGTATAGCAGTTTGGCTGCTCATCACAAGTCGGGTCCATACGTAGAGATTCGGGACCTCCACGGCCATTACTGTGACCCTTGGGTGCCTGGCCCCAGAGGGTCCTTTGGATCCCTTTGATGCTTACATGCCGGGCCTTGGCTGGCCAGCAGGATTTTAAAAACCCCAAAACCAACCCCTTTGACCATGTGTTTGATTTGTCCCGAATATGGTTACCCAGGTTCAGGCAGGCCTGAGGCGGGTGGGCAGGGAATAGTGATGCTATCTTTGGGCGGGTGGTGGTGGTGGTGTGTGGTGTGCATCTTTGGGGAGTAGGCTGTCCTTACAAACTTGTCTGTAAGAACAGACTAAGCCAGTCAGAAAGTTGGGCCAAGCTAGAAAGTCTGAAATGAATGTGTCCTGGAGAGGCTTTGGGTCCTGAGAGCAGGTGAGCTCACTGCCCGTCCGAATCTCCAAGCCAGCCTGGCTCTTCAATTCCCAACCAAAAAGACATGTTTGCAGGTCAGAACTTCCAAATGGGGGCAGGGTGGGGAAGGTGTGTGCCCTGTCCATGGTCAGTCAGCCACTTTTGCCACTGGTCTAGGGTGCGGTCTCCTGAAGGGATACCCGCCTAGAGTGCTCTTCCCCAAGAGGGTGGAGAGCAGCACGCTGCTGGGGCCCTACTAAAGGAAGGCTCCCGCTTCTCTGGCCCCTCAGAGAGGAGCGCCGGGGTGCTGTGCCTTCCCCAGAGTGCCGGGGAGGGCAGACGCTCAGGGAGGTGACTGGAAAGCACCAAGCTGAACACGCACGGGGAGCTTTTGCCGTTGATGTCGGTTCCCTCCGTCCAAACCAAAACCCCAACAATTCCTGGATTTCTTCTCCCACCCTTTTTCAGTTTTTAAAGGGGGACGGACGGTGGTGGGGAGCCAATGAATTTCTTGCGCTGACCAAATGGAATCAAGAAAGCCCATTATCACCGAATCAAGACAGCCTGTGTCCCTCGCCCCGCCCCCGCCCCCACCCCCGCCGGAGAGTGGGCTGTGGAAGATGAGAGCGGCTACCAGCCCTGTAGTGAAACAATGACAGAAGCTCTTCTTGGGGGAAGCTGGTCCTAAGAAAATGTTGGGGCAATCCCATCACAGATCATTCACTTACACAGTCCCTCTCGCGTCAAAGAAAGCATGTTAGTGAGGGCAAGTAACATAGAAGCCCAATACCAGAAAAGGTGTGTTCAGGAAAGTAAATAAATATAAATATAAAGGCCCCAAACTTTTAAAAGAGCATCAAACATTAAAAACAAAACCAACCAAAACAACAACAACAAAAAACCCCAAACAACAACAACAAAAATAACACCCTGAGATTTCGGGTTTTTTTATCTAATTACCATACTTACCGGCACAGGGAAACAGCACCGTCTGAGCGGTGCTACACTCCGATGCCTCCGCACAAACGTGTAGGGAACGGAGTTCACCAAAGCTTCCGCGAAAGGCACAACAGCGGGTGTAAGAAACTAGTGCCCGGAGCAGTGTAACCATGAAAGGCTCTCAGCTACCCCGCTTTGATGTGCACACTGCAGAGACACCACACTGGTCCCCGGGCCCTGGCCACACAGTTTACACTGTAAATACACCACAGCTTCATGGACTCCGGCTCAGCTCCTGAAAACCTCAGCATCACTCTGGCCTCTGCGGGGCTCCTGTGCACAGAGCCATCCATGGCCACGAGGTCATCGCTCTGCCCACTTGGACGTGCTGGTCAATCGGTACGTCACCACAGCCAGCTCGCCAGCTTGCCCTCGCCCCACACAGCACTGCCAACACACGGCCGTCCCTCGCCAAGACTGTCATCTCACAACAACACACAACACACAGCAAGAGAGCTCAGCACAGTGCTCAGCCGGCCTGGGGTGGGGGGAAGCAAGCCAGTACCATGTCGCGACCAGCCACACAGCCCGCTTCTCCTTCCAGCGGCTGGCAAACCACTAATCACTCCAGAGGCAACTGTTCCCTCTCAACAGACCTGGAGGCACCACCACGGCTGCTAACTAGCCCAACGCTAGGAGCACACGCACGCACGCGCACATACCCCCCGCCCCCCGAAAAAAATCAACAACCCTGCAACAGAACACGAGTGTTAGAGCTGACCAAAGCCGGACCCCTGGAGATGGTCAGAAAGGATGGTTAGAACTTACTGGTCCACTGAAGCCAGCCAGCTGCGTGATCATCAGGCACACGATGGACAGGATGAGCCTGGTGCGACAGAAGATCCACACAACCCTTCGGAGGGAAGCAGCGTCTGGACCAACTTCATTCAGTTCTTCTTGCCACAGTCTCTCTAGTCTTAACAAGGGCACATGTCCTCTGTTATACATCTCCCCGGGAAGACAGGCACGCCCCCGCTGCCCTCCTGCCATCGCCTTTGGTGTCCAGGCTTTGAAACCACTCAAGACAAGTGTCTCCTCTAAAATTAGATACAGACTCTGCACCTGCACCGGCCTGGGGAAGAAATGCCCTCCTTGGAGAATTACCTATGTACTCGGTACAGGGAGCCTCTCGGAACTCAAAGGACGAGAGCAAAGGTTTCTTTCTTTCTTCCACCCAGAAAGACAAAACAGAATTGTCCCTCAGTGGAAATAGGTTTGGGGCTAAGAACTTCCTCTCTCGAGGTGGCCCACCCCTTTCTGAAGGACCCTGTGGCAAAATGTAAAGTTGTAAACTAGCATTTTAATCATGACAATCGGCTACCACAAAAATGTATTCTGTCACAAGGCAGCAACATAATCTCCCTGCGGATTCAGGAAGAGAAGCGGGGCTGAGAGAGAGAGAGAAAGCCCGTGGTTAAAACAGGATCAAAGCGGAAACAGGAGAAGAGCACAGAGAAAGCAGTCCCCCGGCGTCCCTCCCGCCACTGGACAGCTCCGAGGACACCCAAGCCGTGGCCTTCCCGCTGCTGGACCCGCACCCCTAGCTCAGGCTCTAGGTATCCGGTATGTGGGAGCGGAGGGCGGAGCAGAGACGCCTACCTTCTGCAGTTCACCTCGGAAGACTCGTACTTGGACAGAGGCCACACGTCCTCCATCAGGAGCTCCCCCTTCTTGTGGGCCACGCGGGCCAGTGAAGAGAGCCAGGAGAAGGTCATGCAGGAGAAGAGCCCGGCATTGTCCACGGGGTGCTGGTGTCTGAGGAGAGGAACCCGAATGACAGCTCCCACCACCGAGCTGCTCAGGAAACACCCCTGACGAAGCCAGATCTTCCCAAGCGCTCTGACCTTGGCCCCCAGCGCTTCCCCCAGGCTTGCCCTGGGCCAGGAGAGCCCCTGACTTACTTGGAAGTGGTCCGGATGGGCTTCAGAGCACTCAGGCCGTGATGGTACTTTCCCTTGGGACGGTCCTCATCCAGGATTCGCAGATGAGAGTGCGCGGAGACATCCAGGGAGAGACCCTCAGCTCGGGCAGCGGTCTCCAAGGCATCCTGGCATTCCAACTGCGTTGACAGACAGGGAGAGAGGCGGACCGCGGCCCAGGAACGTTAGAGAAAAGCAGGAGAGGCAAGCCAAACGATGTAACAGCTCCCACTACACGCCAGCATCATCTTCCAGGAGGCATCAGGGGGGCCGGAGGTCCAACACGCGTGCTGGATGAGAAGGACTCGCTAAGGCTCATTAAACATGTGTTTGACAATTTGTACTGCCATCACCAATATATTTTGGCTTTCATTTCCCAGTGTGGACTGGGGGGCCGATACTTTACTGCTGATTGCGTATTCCTGTGCCTGTTTCTAAGTCAGGAAGGTCCCAACCAGCCCCAGCAGAACAGCCCTGCCAAAGGTCAAAGTGTACACCCGGCTCCTGTGTCACTGCTTCATCAACAACTTGGAGAGCAATACATGCCCACACCCCACCCCGATCCCCGCCCCGGCTGCTGACCACAGTGCTCCCTTCCTGCTGCAGACGCAGAAGTGTCTTTCCCCTCCAGCTACACACATCGCTCTCTCCTCCGTGAGCAGTGAACTTCACATGCCAGGAAGATGTCCAGCAATTACAGATCCCCACGTCAAGGCTGGGAGAACGTGTCCGCAGCCGATCACAGAGACACGTTTACACGTGTGTTTTCTTTGAGTATGTACGGACAGGCTTATTCCAGTTAGACTTCTAGGAGCAGCACGTCTTGACTGGCCCACATACAGGAATGCACTGAGAGAACAAATATGGCAAACTGGTCACTGGGAAATCAGAGTGAGAGGTAAATGAAAACATGGAATTCCTTGTACTGTTCTAAAACTTGCCTGTTAAGGTCAAAACAATGTTGAAAAGTAGTTATTTCTATGAACAAAACTGAAGATAACCTGCAGACTGGGAAATTATTTTCAGACCCATGTATCAGGTAAAAGCCTACTATCTAAAATACATATATGCAGACCTCTAACTGTTACCAACAAAAAGACAAACCACCTGATGAAATCAAAAATTGGACTTGAAAAGAGGACATTTTCATTGTGTCCCCAAAGTACGGAGCAGAACTGCACCAGAGGGTTTCCCAAAGCACATCTTCCTGAAAGCAGACTGCTCCATCTCTGTCCCATGAACAGCAGGTAGGTTGAAGCCATGGATTCTCCGTGAGCAGCTCAGTGCTCACACAGGTCTCACACCAGGGCTTCCTCATGAGCCATCAGGTCAATTCCAACTCACAGCCACCTTATACAGAGTTTCCACGGCTGGAAATCTTCATAGCAACAGACAGCCTCATCTCTCGCCCACGGTGCAGCTGAGGGGTTTGAACAGCCAACCTGTGGTTAGCAGTCCAACGCTTACCTGATAGCACAACCAGACCTCTTTCATTAGCCATCAAACTCACCACCTTTCAATTGATTCTGACTCATCCGGACCTTACAGGACAGGGCAGAACTTCCCCTCTGGGATTCTGAGACTAAATCTTTACGGGAGAGGGCAGCCTCATCTTTCTTCGGCAGAGTGGCTGGTGGGTGTGAACCACTGTCCTTGCAGTTAGCAGCTCAGCATGTAGCCCACTACCCCATCACCCCTATTCAACAGGTAGCTAACTATTCATTAGCCACTAGAGCAGTGGTTCTCAACCTTCCTCATGCCACGACCCTTTAAAACAGTTCTTCGTGTTGTGGTGACACACCCCCCATCATAAAATTATTTTTGTTGCCACTTCCTAACCTTAATTTTGCTACTGTTATTAATCAAACAACCCCTGTGGATCATTCAACTCCCAAAGGGGTCGCGACCCCCAAGTTGAGAACTGCTGCACTAGAAGCATGTAAATCAAAACCACAAGGAGATATCATATCACCCCAATTAAAACAATGCTGAACAACAACAAAACCCAGGAAACAAGGGTTGGAGAAACTGTCTGTGACAAAACCCTCATCTATTGCTGGTGGAAACAACAAATGGTGGGAACGTTCGGTGGCCCCTGAGAGAGTTGAACCCAGAACTACCATATGACCCAGTTAGCCTGACTCCTAGCTAGGTACGGACCCAGAAGAAATGATGGCAGTACACTATTCTGAAGCATGATAATGAATATGCAAATTATGTGCCAATAAAACTGTTAGGGAAAAAAGAAAAGGAAATGTTAACCTTAAAAAAAGAGAGAGATTGGATTCTATTGGCTAGAATTTCGTGACAATTGTTGCCTCTATGTTCTCCAGGCGTATTGGTCTGTCGTTCTCTATTCTGGTAATGTCCTTGCTTACTCTGGGCTATCAGGGTGATACTTGCTTCATGGAATGAGTTTGGTAGTGTGATGTCCTTTTCTATGTCTTGGAATAGTTTGTGTAGTACTGAATGCTTAATAGAATTCTCAGTAAAGGCGCTGGATCCCGGAAAAAAAGAAAAATGATAAGAAGCACACCATGAAGAATGTGATCAATCCATAGCACTGACTGTAAAGGTGGAAGTTGTGCTGGCAAATGTTTCGATGTGCACATTTCCATCACAATAAAAAAGGGACTGTCTCGAATAAAGCCTAACTACTCTGGTCAAAGCGTGCAAGACAGAAAGGCAGAAAGAAGAGACAACTGGGGATCATCGCAGTGCAGTAATCTCGGCTTCACATGAAGACGGAGGCAGGTGAACTGAATTCACTAGTTAGGAGAGTTTTATAAACACCCTTTGATATTATGGCAGCACCGTTTGACTATTAAACCACTAGTGAGTATGCTTGCAAGGCAATGGGATACTAGCATTAAGGCGAAACTGAAATCTTTGCATCTGCATTCACTTGCTCTTTCTGTATATACTGGGTACCTACTTGCCTACCTTGTGTGAGACTGTTCTGATGCTGGGAATAAGATTAAGTTAATCCCTATGTGCCTTATTGATGATGCAAAGGCATTTGACTGTGTGGATCCTAATTATGGGTACCACCACAAAGAACGGGAATTCCAGAACATTTGAGTTGTGCTCATGAGAAACCTTGCGGCAGTGGTGGTGGTGTTAGATGCCAACACCACAGCAACCCTATGCACAACGGAACAAAAAACACTACCCAGCCCTGTACCATCCACACAATTGTTCCTATTCCGGGGCCAAAAGGCACTTGCTTGAGCGGAACGAGGAGGTACTCTTCATTTTCGATGTTAGAAGCGGTGTGTGCCGGGGGTACTCTTCCACCACACTTACTCCCCATCTGTATGCTGAGCAAATCGTTCCAGAGGCTGGGCTATACAAAGAACTCTGCAACAGGACTGGAGGAAAGCTCATTAACAATCTTTGAGTCACCGACGACACACTTTGCTTGCTAAAAGCTAAGAGAACTTGAAGAATGGATTATAACTCAACATAAAGAAAGCAAAAATCAATAGACAATATCATTAATAAATGAAGAAAGGACTGAAGTTATCAAGGATGTCATTGGCTTCACAATCAAAACTTCTGGAAGCAGCAGTCATGAAATACAACAACCTAATGCATGGGGCCAATCTGCTGCAAAAGGCTTCTGTAAGTGTTACTGGGTCCAGATTCCAGGTGTCACTTTGAGGGGGACTAAAGCCAGGGTGTCTTGAGTCACCTTGTATGCACCGAGAGCTGAATAATGAAGGAAGACGACCAGAGAAGGACCGATGCATTTGAATGCCGGTGGTGGTGACAAGTACTGAGATTACCAGACTGCCCCGAGCAACCCAATAGGTACAGGCCAGAACGCTCCTTAGACGCAAGGTGGCAAGACTTTCATCTCGTGTACTTATGCTATGTTATCAGGACAGCCCAGTCCCTGGGGAAGGGCATCATGCTTGGTAAAGTAGAGGGTCAGAGAAAAACAGGAAGCCCGTGCACAGGGTGGATCGACACCGTGGCTGCAACAATGGGCTCACACACACTAAGTGTAAGGGTAGCAAGAGACCAGGCGGCTTTCGTTCTGTTCTTTGTGGGGTCACTAAGAAGCAGAACTGGCTCCACAGCACCATTCAACAGCATGTGTAGAGCACATCAACTTTAAGTTCATCTCCCAAAGGTCTAGGGACCATATGCACCAAAACTGAATAGACTTAAATAAACACCTCCGACAACATGGGCTTTTGTTCTTTTGCTACATATAATGATGTCACGTAGTAAGCTACCTTCTGTATTGGACAAAGCCAAGTGCAAAACCTAAAACAGACGCCAGTGAGTGCTACAGCCCAAGCTTTCTTCCTCCAGGCTGGGACCATTGAACAACTGTGGGAGAAAGAGCGAGGGCTTCTGTCCTACCTTGGACTTCAGAACAAGGACTCGGCACAATGTTATCCTGGCCAGAAAAAAACAAACAAACAAATAAACCAGCCCCTGTGAAAGTGGCTGAAATTGCACTAGTCCTCCTCAAAATTCCATGTAATAATATAGTAGGGATTCTCAGTATGGGTAGGGGGTACACTGTTGATCAAAGAGAATCAGCCCTATCCTTTCGAAATCATATACCACTTGTGTTACTCATTCCTAAACTTTCCCCAAACTGTCTCTTATTGTCCTGTGCTTAGTCAGCACCTAGGGCAAAAAAATTAAGGGTCTGACAAAGATGAGATCACACTTTTGAGGGGAGCCCAGTCCTGCTCCCGGTCTCCTTCAGATAAAGGTTTCTTCAAAGTTGAGCAGCAGATGGCTATCTTTTGGTAAGAATTCTTGAATGTCAAAATAGCATTGCTAGAAAAAGAAAAAGAAAAGAATTCTCTTGCTTCAATAAAAGTCACTTTTTCTTCCAGTACTAACATGGTCATGGGCAGAATTTCCCCGTGGCTGCCGGTCAGTGAAGTATGGGGATTCAGAACACAAGACAAGCAAGTTACCCGACCACTTGAAGCTTCAAATGACCATTTTTAAGGGCCCTGTGGCACTGTGGGTTAGGTGTTGGACTGCTAACCTATCACAGGGTCAGCTGCTCAAATCCATTGGCTTTTCTGAGGGTGAAAGACGAGGCTGTCTGCTCCAGAAAGACGGATAGTTTCAGAAACCCTATCCAGGATCACTATGGCTCAGAACT